TTGTTGAAAAGCTGAGTTCTGGTGGGAATGGGAAACTGTTGCTGTGGCAGGAGATATTTTCTACACAATTAAATTGCAAGAGGTTTTTCATTTAAATTAATGCTGTGATTTTTTTTTTTTTTAATTATTTTTGTGTAGCCCTGGTATTTGACTTAATGGGAGCACAAGCATATTCCTAATGGAAGGAATATTTAAGAGCAAGCATGAAATTTCCTATCCTTCTGAAGTTTGTGTGTTTGTTGGGTTTTGGGTTGGATTTTTTTTTTTGTCATCCTAGGGAGAAAACTACGATAACTGATCAATGCTTGTGGTATTTCTACTTGTTTGCTCTGATTTGGGGAAACTAGCAGTGTTTATGACACTTGTGAAATTTATCAGTCAGTTAAAGTACAGCTAGATGTAATTAGAAAGATGGATTATATTTCTGCACTTTTTTCAGATTAAAAATATGTGTTTTAACTCTTTTAGCTCTTTCATAATGGCTAACACTTGAATACGCTTACGCTTGAGATTGTTTTGCAGATACATTGAGCTGAAACCCTCTGATGCTCCAAGTTGACCAGGTATACTTTAGAAATGTTTTAGGCAGTGCAACAACAAACTATTAAAACTCGGTGAGGAACAAGATACAGCCATGATTGAAACACTGCTAGTTCAGGCTCAGGAACATAATAGCTGGTTGTGCAGCTTCTGGGCTGGTCTGCCCAGAGTACAAGAGGCATTTGCTATATTGGGGGGTGTGTGTGTATATATATATATATATATGTATGTATGTATATATATAATATTGGTATTTATATAAAATATATATATATATAAATATAATAAATATATATATATATAAAAAAGATTGTGTTCTTTATTAGAGCTAAGACAATATAGTTCCTGAACTTCGGACTCCAAACAAGCAGCCTCAGTATTAGGGTTTTAGGGGAAGAAGAAGCTTGGTGGCTTGTGGTGCCTTTTTTTTTCCTTTTTTTTTTTTTTAATGGGAACTGTCAAGGTCTGAGACATGCTCTGAATGTGAACGTGGTATCTTTCCTCAGTAAATTGGATTATGTTAGAAGGTCTGTTTTATTTGGTTCTCTTCTTGAAGATGTTATTCCTTGCATGCAAAATTTTGATGGAAAACAGTTCAGAAACTTTTTGTGAGTGACTGAGGTCTTGCTTGCATGTTTCAGAGTGCAAATTAAGTTTGTCCCCTTGAGTCCCCATTAGAAACTCCTGTAAGATCAAAGAAGCTATGTGCAAGCTGTCTAATATGTAATATCTCTTTATGTGTATATTTTTTACCTTAGTGAACAGAAGACTCACAAAGGACATAACCTGTCTGAAGGATTTTATCAATGATCCCAAAAGAGAAGAACCTCTAGTTGGTATGTTTTTTGTTTTCAAAATGGTATGTCTTTGAATTTGTGACCAAACAGCTTTTGTTTTTAAATATAAGGTGGAATTTTAGATGTTGCTTTGTTTTCTGTAAATGTATTGAATAATTTACAGGATAACTCTTACACCTTTGAAAGTTTAACTTATTACAATGGGTACTATAAAGGCCACCTCTTTTATTCACCTTGTTAACTGAAGTAGCCGTCCCAGTCGAGGCTTTTCGCAGATTACGGAATAATTGAGGTTGGAAGGGACCTTTGGAGGTCATCTTGTCTAAACACTCTGCAAGGTCACTCACAGTTGGCTGCTCATGGCCATGTCCAGGTGGCTTTTGAATATATCCAAGGTGGGAGACTCCACGACCTCTCGGGGGAAACCTGGGTCAGTGCTTAGCCACCCTCACAGTCAAAGATGTTTTGTGATATTCAAACACCATGTCCTGTGTTTGAGTTTGTGCCCATTGCCTCTTGTGTTCTGTCACTGGACACCACTGAAAGGAGCTTGGCTCCCTCTTCCCATCTGAGCTTTTTCTCCTCCAGGCTAAACTGTCCCAGCCCTCTCAGCCTCTCCTCATACGAGAGATACTCCAGAGACTTCATGATCTTCATGACCCTTTGTATGTCCATGTCTCTTGTACTAGAAAGGCTAGAACTGGACAAAGCACCCCAGGCATGTCCCTATAGCTGCTGAGTGGAGAGGGTGGATCGTCTCCTTTAGCCTGCTGGCAGCACTCCGCCTCATGCAGCCTGGGATACCATTGGGCTTCTTGGACACAAAGGCCCATTGCTGGTTTATCATCAACTTGGTGTTCACCCAGGTCTGTTTCTGCTAAGCTGCTTCCCAGCTGATCAGCCCCCACGGTGTACTGGTACCTGGGCTTGTTTTTTCCCACATGCAGGAATTTACATTTCCCCCTGTTGAACTGCATGAGGTTCCTGTCAGCCCATTTCTCCAGCCTGTGGAAGTCCATCTGGGTGGCAGCACAACCCTCTGGTGTGTTGGCCATCCCTCCCAGTTTTGTGACATCAGCAGATGTGCTGAGGGTATATGCTATCTGATCATCAGATCATTAATGAGGATTTCAAACATGAGTAGACCCACTAGTATGCCACTAGCTACCGGTCCAGCTAGACTCTGTTCCACTGGTGACTGGTCATCTGGTGATTCTTTTGTGTTTTATTTTGGTGGGATATACAGGTATTTCTGTTCAATGAGATATTTTTCTTCACTGTCTTTGGGAATACTAAAAGTAATGAGATGGATTTTAAGGGTTTTTTGGTCTATCTAATGTGTGCTCGTGGCCTAGGGAAATATGTTCCCTGATAAAGAGCTAAATAGCAAACTTCCTAGTATTAGTAGAGAATTTGTCTGTTTAATGAATTGTTGTGCTGTTAGTCTACATACAGTATTGGTGTTAAAAAACATAGTTTATTGTAAGTATTTTTTAATAGAAAAAGGTAAATAGAAAAGTTTTACATAGTATACTCAGTCATTTGGTGATAGTTTATTTTCAGAGTTACGTTTTATCAGCTATAATATTGTAGTGGGCCTGTGATGGAGTTCAGTTTCTTCATAGCAGCCTGTACGTTTTGGATTTGTGACTGAAACTGTTGACAACACACTAGTGTTTTGGCTGTTGTTGAGCAGTGCTCAGTGTCAAGACTCTCTTTTTCATTCTGCCTTCCCATCCCTTGCCCCTTGAGTAGTATAGGGGTGGGCAGGACACCAGAAGGGAGCACAGCCAGGACAGTTGAACCAAGCTGGCCAAAAGGATGTTCTGTACTGCATAATGTCATGCTCAGCAATCACAAATGAGATAAAGGAAAAGGGTGGTGGTAGTGGTTTAGCTTCCAAGGTGGCTGTTCAGAGACAGAGTGGGTGTTGGTCTGCTTGTGGGGACTTGAATGACTAGCTTTCAAATTCCCTTTCCTCCTTCTGTTACCTATTAAACCCTCTTTATCTTAAGCCATGAATTGTCGCTTTTGGTCATCATTTCTCCCCATCCTGCTGAGGGGTGTGGATGTGAGTGAGCAAGCAGCTGGGTGGTGCTTGGTTGCTGCCTGGGGTCAACCCGTCACAAAAACACAGTGGAAAATATGATAATAGGGAACAGCTGCAGGTTTTTCCTATTAGTTTTAAGCTGCTTTTAAACTTGATGCATTTAAGCTGTTCAGAGTAAAACTTCTCATGCTAGGTATATATAGTTTTATATAAACCTTGGAGATTTCTGAATACTTCTATGGCATAGTCTTTCAGTCATTTCTAGAAAAAAATGAAGAAAAATCCCATTTTTCCTGTAATTCTTAAAAGTTTATGGAAGATTTTTAGATTATAAAGGGTTCGGTTTTGCCTTTCCTGCATGTGCTTTGTGCTTGGACGCTGTCCAATTATGTTTGACTAAGTACTGTAAATGCAGTTTTTTTAATCTAGGTATTTGCATGGCATTTTCTATTCCAATTTTCTTTTTTTCTCTTCCTGACTGTATGGAATGTAAGGCACTTTCTTGGTTTCTTGAAAACATCCCAGGGAGAAAAAAATTATGTGAAATACTTTATTTTGGTGGGCTTGCAAATCTGTCATAAACCATATTTTTCCTGAATAAAGCATTGTAAAGAGACAACTGATATGGGTAGTACGTCTGAAGAAGTGTTGAAATTCTGTAAATAGAATACTTTTATTTGTTCCTTTTGGCTTTTAATGGGCAATATTGAATACATTTGTTTATAGTAATCTGTGTACATCTTTTACAGGTTTAGAACATGTGGTTGAAATCAGATTTGAAGGAAGAAAAGAGCCACATTATAAGTGCAAGCTGTGTGGGTTTAATATGGAGATGGCACCTATGATAGAACACCTTAGTGGATATAAACACAGAAGAGCATACATCATGAGTAATTTTGATGCATTTTGATAACAATTTCTTTATAAGAAGGCAGTGTGCGCTTGTAGCCCAGAAAGCCAACTGGGCTGCATCGAAGGTAGTGTGACCAGCAGGTCGAAGGAGGTGATCCTGCCCCTTTACTCTGCTCTTGTGAGACCTCACCTGGAGTATTGTGTACAGTTCTGGTGTGGACATGGAACTGTTGGAACAAATCCAGAGAAGGGCCACGAGTTTGATCAGGGGTCTGGAGCACCTCCCGTATGAAGACAGGCTGAGGAAGTTGGGGCTGTTCAGCCTGGAGAAGAGAAGGCTGCGTGGAGACCTCATAGCAGCCTTCCAGTATCTGATGGGGACCTATAGGGATGCTGGGGAGGGACTCTTCAGTAGGGACTGTAGTGATAGGACAAGGGGTAAAGGGTTCAAACTTAAACAGGGGAAGTTTAGGTTGGATATAAGGAGGAAATTCTTTCCTGTTAGGGTGGTGAGGCACCGGAATTGGTTGCCCAGGGAGGTTGTGAATGCTCCATCCCTGGCAGTGTTCAAGGCCAGGTTGGACGAGGCCTTGGGTGATTATGGTTTAGTGTGAGACGTCCCTGCCCATGGCAGGGGGGTTGGTACTTGATGATCTTAAGGTCCTTTCCAACCCTAACTATTCTATGATTCTATGATGCTCCCCTTTCTTTTCCTTTTTTATTTCTTTTTTTTTTTTCCTGTAAATATTTACATCAAGTTTGAACCCCTATGTGATAAATTTCTAGTACCTGTATGGTTGACTCTTCGTGGGCTGGACCAACTCAAATAGCTTTGAAGTTGTGAGCTGTTGAGGAAGTGCAATCCCAAGGTGTGTGTCTGTATCTGCTCAAAGTCTATTCCTAAGTGTTTTGATTGCCTTCAGGATCAGGTTCCTAGAACAGTTTGGTTCTTCCATATTCCTCAGCATGTCCATCGCATTGTTGGACATGGTGGAGAGCACGCTGCCTTTTGGTAGCAAGCCTTGCATGATATCCACTTTTTGTTTTGAACACTAATTAAGCAACTTTAATATTAAAATGTAATTAGTTATGTTACAGAGAAGAAACTAGTTCATAATATTCAAAATGTTGTTTATGAGCCTTTTAGAAGCTTGTCCAAAAGGTGAAATGTGCCAGTTATTTAATATAGCAATGAATTTTGGTATTGAACATTTCAACTGGGTTTTGTCAACAGTCTGAAGAATTTCCAGATAAAATGAAGAGAAAGACAGCAGATGTAAAAGAATGCAAAGTCTAATTTCTCAGACAGATAGCAGGAGAGCTGGAGAAATGTGAAGGATTAAAAATGTATAAGGTAATTGCAAGTAAATATACAGTATCTGGTAGTGTATCTTTTATCAGTGCATTTATGTTTGACCTAGTAAAGTTTAAAAGTACTGCTGACAAAGCTTGTTAGATTTGTGTTTCTAGGAAGTATAGTATTAAATTGAATTGAGGCTTAACTTAAAGTTGCCCCAAAAATATATTTGGAAAAGAATAGTATTATTGAAATTCATCAGAAAAAATGAAGCTGTTTACTTGTAAGATGTAAGGGTTTTTTACATAGGAAATGTTCAGTCTGAGTTCAGAAATTTTATTGCTTTACATCAATGATTTCTAATTTTTACAAGTTACATTCTCTTCAGTGTAAGCAAATTTTTGCTCAAATTTCATTGATATTTACAAGATTATGTATCTGTAAAATGCGCTACATTATGCGGGGATAAATAGAAGTACTTATTCCATTTCTAAAGGTAGTATCAGTAGAGACTGTTAAGAAATTTTAATCAGAAAATCTAATATGAAACTATTCCTATTCCTAGATTGAAGGTTGTGTAAGACCAAGTACCCCGCATAAGTCTATGAATTACTTGAATATAATTGATTTGATATAATTGATATTTGGCCTAATTTGAATTAGTAGTTGAACTCAAAAGGTTTGGCTCATCTAAAATGTTCAACCTGTAATAGAACAGTAATATGTTGGAAACCCTATGATGTTGCTAATAATTCTGATTTATTTTCTAGCCCCATCAAAGAAGAAAGCAAGGTGAGAATACTGTCCTACAGGAGAATCGGAAGAGATTTTTGGGGGTTTTGAACTCTCTTATTAAATCCGTTTTCTGTAACAAGCATTGTCACATACGAGGAGAAGATTTTGTATTGTCTTTTCACTCTACTTACTCCTCTTGTGTAAGTTGTTCCTTTGTGCCTGTGAGGAAATGGTAGCTGTGGCTTTTGAAATATTGCACTGATTACACATGATGTACTCATACACAAGTAATTGCAATTCAAATTTCAGGCTGTTAGCTGTTTAGTTGGAATAACGTTGGCTGAGTAAGTGGTATGAAGGGCTCATATAGGAAGTAAAAAAACCACCTTTTTTACTCATGTCCTTTAGCTGATCTGTAAAGAAGTTGGTCAGTATTATTGAATTCTTTGAGTCAGTTGGAATAAGGAACTTTATGAAATAGTATTTTAAATATGCCACAGAGGAAAGGTAGCCTGTATTGGTAAGTGATATAAATTTGGAAATTGAAATATTTAGATACTATAGGTAAGCTTAACTTCTTAGAAATCTTTAGAATGTATCTTAATATTGTCATTTCTTTCTTTTTAAGGTGGGAAGATGATTATAAGTGTGAGGTATGTACAGGTAGTAATTATATGGATGTCTTTTACATTGTAGCAGTTTCCCTATGCTTCCTTTTCATTTTTCTGAAGAAATTTTACTCTTTGGCTTCTTTTTATTAATCTAATTAAAGAAGCAAAACAATTGACTTAATGACCAGAGTTTTGTGTTCATCACAGCAAGGGGGGAGGGAATACTGTACATCCACCTTAGCTCTCATAATTCCTGTTCAAAGTCGCTATGTTAGACCCAGTGTATGCATGCCAGGCCTCCCAGCCTGTGCTCTGCAGCCTCTGCTTCTTTGTTTTGCTCCTCATCAGATCAAAGGTATTCTATCTGTACCGAAGGTTTGGTTTAAATCTGTAGGTGTATTTTTACAATCCTTTCTAACTAAAAGGGGAAACTCAAAATGATTTCTCAAGTATCCATCCTGAATAGCACTGGGCATGAACACTGAAAACTGCCTTATTTTCACCTTAGTGGCAGAGGTGATTTTGTAATCTGTCGTATTTTAGAATCATAGAATCATAGAATAGTTAGGGTGGAAAGGACCTTAAGATCATCTAGTTGCAACCCCCTTGCCATGGGCAGGGACACCTCACACTAAACCATGCCACCCAAGGCTCTGTGCAATCTGGCCTTGGACACCGCCAGGGTTGGAGCATTCACAGCTTCCCTTGGCAACCCATTCCAGTGCCTCACCACTCTTACAGTAAAGAACTTCTTCCTTATATCCAATCTCAACTTGCCCTGTTTAAGTTTTAACCCTTTGATTCCTTGTCCTGCTGTGTGCTGCCTCTCCCCACTGTCAAATGTGGTGATGTCTTTTTTGGTGATGTCTTGCTCTGTAGTCCTCAGGCTGGTCAGGTGCTATGCTAGAAGCAGCTGGGCGCTTGCCTAAACACGAGGTTGGACCTGAGGGAGAAAGGCCTGGGAAAGATAGCTCTTGTAGGTGTTATTATAGTATAGTAATAGTGTAGTGTTTATAATGGTATAGTGTCTTGTATAGTATACAAGATAGTATCTTGTAGCTTAGGTATGAAATGTGTTCTTCCTGGTATTAGAAGTAATGCAGTTACACTTTTGTAATAGCTACTACCCAATTGCTTTTGGGGCTCTAATGTGATCTGCTTATGTCTGTGACCTAAAATTACTATCTTTTTTTTGTGTTGACTTTTTTAATTGGATGAAAGATTAAAAAGTTGTTTTGTTCAAAATGATCAAACAAATACTGTAGTATTTATTCAGTCTTTTAATTTTATTTCCCTATTCTACAATCCCACAGAATGATCCTGTTTGGAAACAGAAAGCTCTCAAGTTCTTGATAAGTATGTAAAATAATTGTGATAGTAGTCATGCAGTTTCACCAATATGATGCAATGAATATTGTGAAGGAGCCTCTGATTTACTGGTTAAACTCATTTGACCACAACATTAATTTCTTAAGTTCTGTTTTAATGGGCTTTGCTCTTTGAGAAGCTAGTGCAGCTGTAACATAATGTCAGCTCAGAACAACTTGTTGGATTAAGTGTGAGTTCTCTACCTGTTCTCTGGATTTTTTTCTACCATTGCTGAGGAGCCACCCGGCTGAGCAGTGTTAGCAGCACTGTTGCTCAAGTGCTGTTGGCTGCCCGTATCTAATGGGAGTGTTAACACTGAATGAGAGGAGCCAGTCTGGTCTGTCTGCCTGTGGTGCTGTGGGTAGTGCTGTTGCTGCAGAACCAGACAGCCAAGTGAAACTGGGTGACGCTAGAGCTGCTGCTCTTGGAGTGGAGAAGTTTTATCAGTTCCCTTGTTGTTAGTAGTGGCATAGCAAACCTCTGTTTGTCTTTTAGGTTTATGTTGTGAAAATGTCTGGCCATTTATAGTCACCATTTTACCCCATGAAAGTCATGTTCTGTACCTAAGGCAATTACAAAACTTCATTGGAGTCTGATTTGTGTTTATACACTGAAATCACAAGTAGAACAATTTGAGATGTGTGTTTCAGTTATTTTAAGCTTCATTACTTTTGACTTTAGGAAGAGGTAAAGAAAAGCAAGTCTAGGCATAATCAGTAAACTACCAAAAAGGCTTGGTAGACAGTGAATTGATCAGTTATTCCTTACAGCAGGCTGCCTGTATTCTTTTTACTTACTGTTATTGTTTATAACTTCGTTTACTTAGTAATCAGTCTCAAAGACAGATGTTGGTAATTGTTCTGCACTTCATAGAATTATCTCAATATTTTTTGGCATCTCTTATTCCCAAAACTACACATGGGAAAATAATAATGGAAACTTTCATATTTTTGTTACTAAAATGGGGGAATCAAAGGGATTTGGTGGTGCTGAAGCTTACTTTTTATTCATTTTTCTACACAGATGGTGTAAATTTATGACTTGTGCCCTTCTCCATCTGCAGTGAAATGTTTGTGATTGACAGCAGGCGTGTGACACAGACTTCCAGGCTTATGTTTTTCCTTTTATCAGGCCGTAATTATGTTCACAGTTTTTTTTCAAGTGTGTATATGTATATTATATATGTCTTAAATATCAATTACTAGTATAAATTTGGCTATACCAAAATCAAAGTACAATTTTTATGTATTTGTGTAAGTTACCCTTCAGCATTCTAGTGACCAATTCTGTGTTTTTCAACAGGAGACTTTTCGCATCACCTCAAGTTCAGAAGCAATAGTTGTTGTTCATATTACACAGGAACTCACAGAAGCTTTGAAGGCCTTTTGTGAAAAGAAAGCAGGAGTAAGTAACTTAATCTTGCATGGAGATGTTTTACCATTAAGGAGAAAGGAGTAGATGAACTCATTGTGTTAAGACCCTACCAAACTGTAAGAGTTCAGGCATAGGTCAGAAACCCCCACTGAAATATATTACCGTTTTTATTACAGTTTCTGTATACCAAATACATTAATTGTATGGCACATTTCTGTTAGTTTTTCATCATCTTTCATTTATTTTGGTTTTCTTTTGCATGTGATCTCCCCCTGTTTTGGGCACCATTTTGCTTCATGATATCTGGTTTTGATACTTCTTTTTTAGTTAGTACCTTGCTTGATAGCTTTTCTTCCAAGATTAATCAGGCCTTAAATGCTACCCAAATGTGTCACTTCTTTCTTTTGTGGGCACATGGCTAAGTCTGTGTTCTGGTGACTTGTAGCTCTGCTCTCAGTTGAGAACTTTAATATGTTAAGACTGAGGAGGGCAAGATGTTCCCATTTTTCTGTTGGCCCTTACAAACTTCCATAGTTTCTTGGCATAAAAATTAAATGCCTATAGAAAAAGGGTCTGAAGAAGGACCAGAATCTGTACAAAAATAACTTGTCACCTCTGGAGCTACTTGTTCACAAGATTCAGCATGTGTCTTTCTGAAAGATATTTCAGACTGGTTTATTAGGGATTAATAATATTCTGTGTCAGAGAAGCTATGGTAACTGTCCTTGTGCAAATGCCTTGTGCAACCTTTCTGATAGCTACACTTTCAAAGATGTCATGCAATTGAATATAATACAGTTCTCATGATCTAGTTAAAAAGCTCTTGCCATAGCTTAATCTCGGGCAGTAGCTGTGCCCTCCATCCTGCATCTCCCAACTAGAGCCAGGATTTGCATATGTACCAGCTTTATACTTTAGCCAGGTGATATTGAGGGCTATGGGGCAATAAGGACATTTGAAACAGGTGACGTCTTCCTCAGACACCTCATTCTATTCTGCAGACACATACTTTTCTAAATATATTTTTGAAAACTGTGTTTTAATGTGGTAATTGTGAACACCAGAACAACACATCCTTCATCCGGTTTGCTGGGACCTAAAATTGTACTTCACAAACTTTTTGTGGTGAGCTTGCTATTTGGTTTAGACTGCTCAAGGTATGAGTTTAAAACCAAATATTCTTACCTTTTGCTTTATCTAGGTTAATGATACTGACAATCTGAGGCCATTGATGTCAGTATCTCAAGAAGAATTTCCAGGAAGGAAAAGCATCCCAAACCACTATGAGCCATATGGAAAATCCAAAGGTAATTTAGATATTTTGTTCTACTAGTTTGGATCTATTCTTAAACAGACAGCAAACCTGTTTCACAGGTCACAAAAATTAACTGTTGCGGCCAGGCATAGTGCTGCTTTACCAGAGTTCTGTGCATCTCTATTCAGGATATCATTTTCTGAAGCTTTAATGACTTCAACCTTGACTGTCTAACTTGAACACTTGTGTCTCGCTGCATAGTATTACAGCAGTAGTTACTGGAAATCCAAGCAGTAACCTTTCCTAAGCTATTTAACATAGGGATTTTGGGGTGAAAAGATGCTGGACTCAGGTAATACAGAAAACATCAAAGTAGTTGTTTTTAGTTGATGCTTTAATATTTTGCTAACTTTTAGTGCCCTTTATTTATTTATTCAGGAAATTCTAACTGGAATCAAGTGGTTTTGTGTCAGTATGAAGAATGTTCTGCAGATGCTTCTTTTGCTCCTGCTAACTCCTACAGTTACCAAGCAAATAATGAATCATCTTCCTATGGACTAAGATCTACTGTACTCAGGGACTCTTTTGGTCTTCAAACTGGAAGTTCTGCCAGTGGTATCAGTGAATGGCTGAGACGGTTCAGGCGATCAGCTTCAGGCAGTGATTTGGCAGTTGGTGGGGCCCCTTCCTATGAGAGGCCTAGTGAGTGAGTGCTCGTGTCCTGGGTTCAGCAGTAGCAGTCATTTTTCCCCTTCTTGGTAGCTGGTGTAGTGCAGTGTTTTGACTTTCAGCTCGGGAACAGAGCTGATAACAAGCGATGTTTTGGTTTGGCCAAGGACTTTGTGAGCCTCATGCTCTGCCAGGGAGGAGGGGAAGCCAGGAGGAAGCAGAGACAGGACACCTGACCCAAACTGACCAAAGAGGTATTCCATACCACAGCACGTCATGCCCAGGATGTAACTGGGAGTTAGCCGGAAGGGCTGGGAGACTGCAGGGTTGGAGGAGGTATCGGTCAGAGCTTGGTCGGGCTGGGGGGGCGAGTTATCGGTCGGCTGGTGGTGAGATGATGTATTCTCTTCCCTTGTTATTTCCTTTATCATTATTATCATTGGTGGTAGCAGTAGTGATTTGTGTTATACCTTAGTTACTAAACTGTTCTTATCTCAACCCGTGGGAGTTGCATTCTTTTCGATTCTCCTCTCCGTCCCTCCGAGAGCAGGGGGAGGGCAAGAAAAGGGGGGGAAGTGAGCGAACGAATTACCTGACTGGGTTTAAACCACGACAGTTCTTTTTGGCGCCCAACGTGGGGCACGAAGGGTTGAGATAACAACAGATTTGACTGGATTAATAGTCACTCGTCACAATGCTGATTTATTGGCTCTCAGAGTTCTTTTGCTTGATCTCACAGCTTCAGAATGTTGTAACTTACGTAGAGCCGGTATTTGCTGTGTTAGTGTTTATCAAGTATGGGGCCTGGGCTAAGGTTCTTGTCTCACTGTGCTTTATGGCAATGGCTTGTAATACGGGCGGGCTCCAGCAGCAGGGCGGGACGGACGTGGCCGTGGACTTGTACCTGGCCGTCCGGCTGCTCTTCACCGTCCTGGCCCTCACCCTACTCTCCATCTTCGTGAGGCTGCGGGGAGCCGAGGGGGAGCGGCCCCGGGAGCCGGCGGCAGCCGAACCGGCCCGGGAGAGCGGCCCCGGGGACCAAGCGGCGGCGGGAGCGGGGCCGGAGGCCGCGAGGGGACGGCTGCCGGTGGAGGAGGTCGGGGCGGTCGAGGAGCGGAAGGAGGCGGCTGCCGAGCAGCGGGAAAAGGCGGCGGAGGAGCCGAGCCCCGCGGAAGAGCCGAGCCCCGCGGCGGAGCCGAGGCTTGCGGCCGAGCCCAGCCCCGCGACGGCCGATGGCATTTCCCGGAAGCCGCCCGCCGAACCCCAGGAGGATGCAGGAGACCACGCAGCATTTCCCAGCGAGGAAGAGCTGGACTCAGGAAAAGAGAAGCTGGCGGTGGGAGAGCCGGCAAGTACAGCAGCTACACCAGCCCCAGTGACAAGCACAGCAGCTACACCAGCCCCAGTGACAAGCACAGCAGCTGCACCAGCCCCAGTGACAAGTACAGCAGCATCAGTTGAGAGTTCTGGAGGTTTTGAATGGCCTTTGAGTATCCTTGGGACCTGCCTGCTGATTGTGATGGGGATCAGCATGTTGGCACACACACAGACTGTTTTACCCACAACCATTTTGTCTGATCTCAAAAGTTAAGCAGAGTCAGGTTTGGGTCTTGTCTGGGGTTAGACGAGGATATGGGGGGACCAAGAGATTTTCTCCAAAGCTGGACAGTCATGAGTGGCAGGGTGTGTGGGACAGTATGGGCAAGTATCTAGTCCACTGGGCCCCTCCAGTGCTTTGGAAGCATCGGAGATGGAAGGCAGCTGTATGGAGTCCCCAGCAACAAGCTGCAGAAACTGCTTAAGGGGACAGTGAATTATTTTGAGCCTGGTGGGCCCATGGCACTTCAGGCCATCAGAGCAGAGATGCAAAAGAGATGGACTCATGATCGAGGGGTGGACTTAACAATGGACACTATTGCCCAGGTTATTCACGAGTGTGAACACTGCACACAGTCTCTCCTGCTCTGGAAGACTGTTACAAGAGATGGAGCCTGACATCATGGACCAGATGGACTCAGCAGCTTTATAGGGACTGGTCCATGCACTAAGATAAGAGTGCACTGAGATAAGAGTGATGGTATATTGAAAATGTGGGATCTGAGCATGACGTGAATGGTATGGAATAAGGGGTGGATAATGTCCTGGGTTCAGCAGTAGCAGTCATTTTTCCCCTTCTTGGTAGCTGGTGTAGTGCAGTGTTTTGACTTTCAGCTCGGGAACAGAGCTGATAACAATGATGTTTTGGTTTGGCCAAGGACTTTGTGAGCCCCATGCTCTGCCAGGGAGGAGGGGAAGCCAGGAGGAAGCAGAGACAGGACACCTGACCCAAACTGACCAAAGAGGTATTCCATACCACAGCACGTCATGCCCAGGATGTAACTGGGAGTTAGCCGGAAGGGCTGGGAGACTGCAGGGTTGGAGGAGGTATCGGTCAGAGCTTGGTCGGGCTGGGGGGGCGAGTTATCGGTCGGCTGGTGGTGAGATGATGTATTCTCTTCCCTTGTTATTTCCTTTATCATTATTATCATTGGTGGTAGCAGTAGTGATTTGTGTTATACCTTAGTTACTAAACTGTTCTTATCTCAACCCGTGGGAGTTGCATTCTTTTCGATTCTCCTCTCCGTCCCTCCGAGAGCAGGGGGAGGGCAAGAAAAGGGGGGGAAGTGAGCGAACGAATTACCTGACTGGGTTTAAACCACGACAGCTCGGTAGACTGTATGTCCAACAACATGCTAGGAAGTAAGCACTATGGCAACAGAATCTCATGTGGTTGGCGATGTACAAAATGGAGTAATCAACAACTGTGCTCAAAAGCAAGGGGTATAAATGAGCAAGAATTACCCTATCCCAGTTCTTCTGCCTCATACCCTTCATCAGGAAGATATTCCACAAACTATACTTCACAAAGCTATGCCTCTTACAAGAATGATGAGTCTTGTACTTCATCTGTAAATTCTGCTGTTTCAGGAAGAGGTGGCTCCAGGTGGCACCAGGACTCTTGGTGGAGTGAATGGAATGAGGGCTCTAGGTGGAACCGGAGCTCTAGCTGGAACAAGGAATCTAGCTGGAACCAGAAACCTAGGTGTCAAGGATTCAGGCATCAGAAGTCAGGCTACAGGAGTGATTTGAGTTCACATCAGTACTCATTTCTGGCAGTGATTCATACAGAGGTTACCAGCAATTCAGAAGCTCAGGTAAGATGTTTGGTGAAGATGCCGTTGGTCTTACTCCCAACTTTCTGAATAGACTACAAGAAAAGGATATACCTACAGCGATCAGGGTGCTTGAGCAGTCAGCTCCATATTACACAACACTTCAAAGAAAGACTGTGATTAGTTCTCATGTAAAATGAGTTACATCAACATAGTTGCTTTAACATAAGCCAGAGATTGCATTTGCAGAGATGGTGTGCTCCATTCAGAGGAAAAGTTCCTTTTGCTGCGCATGTGTATCAGCTGAAGAGAGAACAGCATTAACAGCCTCTCTGAGGAGACTTTGCCTCTTGACAACTACATAGAGCTGTGAGTGGCAGGAAATTTTGATACCACAAAAATTTCCTGTATCGAAAGGTTTGTCCTAGGTCACCTTGCTAGCTAGTGTCTTATAGCATGGTTAGAGTTTATGCTGTTGCAGTGGCAGCTGTGGGGAGGGAAGATATTGGCATAAGGAAAAAAATACTAGAATGCATGCAGAACCAAACTTGTCTGGTGTTGTAATAGGTGAAGACACTCCAGATGGATCAAATCCATTGGGATAACAAAAGAGAAATGTTATCAAAGAGCCAGTTTGTAATATGTCAAATTATTTTTTCTGATTATTGTAGGGTTATTCCTTAATGTTAAAAATCGTGATATACTATTAAAAATAAAAGGTTCTCCTTTGAAAATAGATTGTGAGATTTAAAGGGAAGTGGGCATGGGCTACTGTATCGCTGTCAGGTTTAAGTTTGGACAAATGCAAGCTATCCTGATGGTACTAAAATGAGTTGCTTAACTAGTAGCTAACTGGTAGCCTGTTAATAGTAAACCTTTCATTTTAACATACTCTCTGCTGTATTATGTGAAGTAACATGAAACAGAAGTAATTTTAAACGTTTTTATCTCCCCTTTCTAGAACTAAATATTCAGACGTTAGTCAATGTGCTAGTAGGAACTAGAGGAAAAGATTAAGAAGCAACAGGAGCGCAACTGGAAACAGATGAACAAATTCAAGAATCTCCATCTCGGCTTTTAGGGAAGAGACTGCATTTAATTCTGTGTTTGACTGGTTTGGGAAAGGGGAAGGGAGGTAGGGTTTAATTTTTTAATGTGTGAAATATGCGGGAACAACTTGCACATAATGGAGGTGAACATACTGTTTTGTTTAAGCTTTTTTAATGTATTTGTTAGATCTTAATATATTACGGAAAAAGAATCTTCTGTTATTTTTTTGAAGATGCATTGAAGTTACTTCGTTAGCAGAAAGCTAATAGCCCTTTTAACACCCTTTCCAACTCGGAAAAGAAGAAAGGTTGGTTTACTTTTAAATTATCTCCTTAGGAAGAGTATTCATTCAGTGTTGCACTGTCTGCTGCAGGAAAATACAGGTTTACTTCCCACAGATGTAATGCCAGTTCAGTTAATCTGAGCCTTTATAATTAGCACAGTTTTACAAGTTGTGACACAACATTTCACTTTAAGACAAGGAAAGGAGAATGTCACAGGAAGGGTATTCTCTTTCTTAATGTGATGCTATATGAAGAAAATGTAGTTGATTCCAAGGGATTGGTATGTAATACTGCAATTATGTGCTTTTGTTTCTGCAGAATAAAAAGAGGTATATCAAATAGATGCAAGTTTTCATTCTTCAGAATGAAGAGGTTACAAATTGACTTAAGTCTCATTTGATGAATTGATCCATGCTAAAATAATTCTTGATTTTTCTACTGGCAAAAGCATACTAAGAAATAGTAAAACCTATAAGGCAATCGGGTAAGATAATATCAGAAAAAATAATCAAAATGACACATTAAGTGAGAAATACCAGTTCATGATGTTTGTGAGTGGTCAATACTTAGGTTTTCTTTTCCCCATGCTGCTGAGCCGTATGTTCATAAATGCCTGGCTTTAGACATCTACTTGATATCATCAAATCCAGCTTACGTGGAGCTAAAGAAGTGGGACAATTTACTCCCTGGTGTCCATTTTTCTTTTCACTGCTGTGGTTTTGATTCTCACCCCTACCTGAAATATTTCTCTGTGCATTAAATACTTGGCTAAGCCAGGGTTAGTCTTCATTGAGCTGTCATAATCTCTTTTTGAGTTCACTATTCCAACTTTTTGGATCTTGTTGTGTCATTTTGAACAAAAAGGCAACGCCAAAGCGATTTATTATAGAGCATACAAACTTGATTTCCTGAAATTCTCCTGTGGATGTTTTGCTTGTGCATCAGAAAAGATGAATTTTACTTTTTCATCCCTGTTCACTTCTTCCTTTTTTCCTTCTCATACTTAGTGGAGGGTTTAATTAGTTTCTAATGGCATATCCTCGGGAGTTATGCCATACACCTTACATAGACCTTCTTGCTTAAAGGGAGAAAATACCATTTTCTACCACAGGTGCCTGCCAGAGCTTTGATTTAAGACTCCATGGGACTGATCAGTTGTTACCTACATTTAAAAGTTGTCAGACATTATTTACACAAATGTTACTACCAGTTTTGTTGTTGTTTGGGTTTTTTTTTTTTGTGGTTGTTGTGGGTTGTTTGTGAGTTTTTGTTTGGTTGGTTTTCCACAGAAAGTGTAGCACAACTACAGCTCTGAAACTGCAGAAGTGTAGCTAGAAAATGTTACTGCTACAACTATGTCCATTGAGGTTAAGACCTTTTCATCTGAGCTTGTTGTAGAGAGCTCTTTTTTTCACAGTTCTCATTCCCTTTGGGATTTTACTTTCATTATTGTATATCCTAGTGGCACATAGCAGCTGGTTGATCCTGCCCAAATTAGATGCTCTTTCCCCCTACACATTCACAGAATCACAGAATGGTTTGGGTTGGAAGGGACATTAAAGCTCCACTCCCCCCCCCATGGCAGGGACACTTTCCACTGGACCAAGTTACTCCAAGCCCTGTCCAACCTGGCCTTGAACACTGCTTCTCTGGGCAACCTGTGCCAGTGGCTCACCACACTCCTAGTAAAGAATTGCTTTCTAATGTGTAATTTTAATCTCCCTTCTGTCAGCTTAAAGCCATTCCCCATTATCCTGTCACTACATGCCCTTGTTAAAAGGCCCCTCTCCAGCTTTTTTGTAGGCCCCTTTAGGTAGTGGAAGGCTGCTATAAGGTCTCCCCTGAGCCTCCCCGAGGCTGAACAAGCTCAACTCTCTCAGCCTGTTAGGATGAACACAGGATTCAAAGGGATGGTTTTCCTTACTGGGGAGGGAACAAGGAAGCCTTTTTGAATGGGCCATTTCATGAAGAAGCTCTTTTAAGCCCCAGACTTTGGGGCTGCTCTTACTTTTTTTTTTTTCTTTCTGAAGAGAATATATAGAGTGATCCTCTCTGCCTTCTGGGGAGGTGAGGTTTGAGCAGGAACTGTTGCAAGTCTCTCTCAGGTATCACCTTAAAGATAAGTAACCGTCACAGTCTGCCCAAGGCTGTTGGATGAAACAACAGTCAGCAACTCAGACAACAGCTGGTGTGCTTATGCTTGGAAGACCATTGGTCTGTCCCCACGTATTTCACAGCAGCAATTGTGCAGAAGATATTACCGAACTGTCACTCGGGGTCTGTTCGATTATCACTTATCAACTAGTAGCAGCTTCTCTGCACAACAGATGCCAGATCACTGCATGGTTGCTACTTGGCTGTCTTCCCCCTGACACCAGGCATTGCACTCCGACTGAGACACTTGGGAATATCCCTGTAACACTGGTATGTTTTTAGGGTGGGTGTCTTTCTGTGTGTGTACTCAACCCTTCTCTGCATAATCTCTTGTAATATCTGCCTGGTATCACTGACAGCATCAGTTTATGTATAGGCACATACCAATGACAGCTCACCTGCCTGTGAGCTGTCACATAACTGTGATGTTCAAAAAAAAAAAAGGGGTGCATGGGGGCTGCCTGCATAAACTGAGCTGGGGACAGGGATGGACTTGGGAATAAGTATTGCTAGCTTAAGTCTGGATAAAAGCTGAAAGCCTGGGGCTGTAAACATATCCCAGAGCGTAGCAGTTAGAATTAATTTTTCTGCTTGAGTGGTTTTACGTGCTTTTGATAGTGCTGCTGTAAGATTTTCTCGAAGCAATCGAAGAGGATTTGCTAACTTCTCTTTTCTGCTTTGAATTTACTGCAGGAGATGGTGACCGGAGTCAGTCATTACTTTTTTTGCTTGTTTTACCACTGTGTTCCTTGCCACCTGTAAACGGTGAGATAGAGGGTGAGGTGATGGCAATGTTTGACAGTCAGTTCAAGGCCACTTCAGAGTGCTTCAGCACAAGAAGGAAGGCTTGCAATGTTAAATAAGCCCCCTAAGCAGAGAGAATGACACCTCTGGAGTAGTTAGTTGATTTTGCAGGGAACTCACTGAGGATGGTGTAGTATTGGCCACGGGTGTGAAGAAGTTGCATTTGAAGTTGTCCTGAGGATACTCTGAGAGAAGGCAGCAGCTAGAAAATAAAATAAGGCAAGGAAGAAAGGCCCTTGCTGTTCCATGGGAGGGACCCCTGAGCTGTAGAAATCTAGCGTATAAAAATAAAACCACCACCCGTTTAAAAAAAACAAACATATAGAAGTGGACTATGAAAGTTGATCTAATGTCTTTACTTAATTTTTAAGTTCTGTATTAAAAATTAATACATTAAACTCTTATAAAAGTAAGGCACATGCAAAACATATTGTGCAACTTCTGACTTTCAACTCCCTTCTAAACTAACAAGCATTATTGTAATTTGGCGTTTCTAAAGAGTCATGTTTTTCCCATGCAGGATATGTGAAAGAAGGTTAAGTCAAGTCAAGTTTGACATTGCACCACATAAATCTAGATTCTGTGCTTTCTGTACGACAGTAAGCAGAGATGGACGTATCATACAGGAATACAAAATAAAAAACAACTCAAGTACAGATTCTGGTGATGGCCAACATACATACATAAAAAATTTAAGAAGGTGAAGTTATATCCATTATAGTACATCAATAATCTTATTCAGTATGTGATGATTTGGCAACTCTAGTCTGTGTAACACCAGTGTGCAGTTCCTGGTTAGCAGTGTCATACAATGCTGAAGACCATAGAAAGATACTGCTCGTAGGACACCTGAATCCAGCCATCTTGGTCGGTGTCGTATCGGCGGAACACATCCGTCAGCCTCTGAAAAGGAGGGAAAAAAACCATACATTTTTGTACATCAGGACAAGTACTCCCCTTGCTATTTGGGTAGCACTTTCTGTCCATCCCCTCTGTAGGCACTTGACAATCTTATGCAGCAGATCAGATTCTAAAACCGCCCTATGCTTCAGTACCTACGTATCTATGCACTTCTTTATAGAGACCAGACAACTTTGTGTAACTGGCTTTGATTAGGGGGAGAAATAATGCACAATTCTCATGACACATTTGAGAATCACCTGGAGGCAAATCGAACAAGTGCCTTCTCCATTTCTTATACATGCTCTGTGTGTCATTAGTGTCCAAGCTGTCACTGTATAACCCAGACAGAGATGCCAGGCAATACAGACAGTGGCCAAACCAACTGCCAGCATGGTTTCACTAACACCAGCTGAATGACCCCCTATTTCAAAGCTCTCTTTATCAGAGTTTAAGTTTATAATGAAATACAATTGGCTTATATTACAAATGAATATAAAGGCAATTGGTGTTTCCAGAGACTTATGGTTATAGACATAAGGCTAAAAGGAGAACAAGAAGACACCTGTGCAGAAATAACAGACACATTACTTCCACAGGACCCTGCTTGTTCTTCGTCACATATTGAAAGGTATCTTAAGACAGTGTTGCAAAGCTGTCTGGCGTAACAAGAGAAACCTTTTTCCTATCCTACAAAAACTGGGCTTGTCCATTGCTACAGTTTCCCAGCTTTCCCCCAGTCTTTTCAGAAAGTCAGATACACCGGAGAGAAACCTTTAGCAATGAAGTGAGGAATCATCCAGTGACTGACTGCCAAACAAAACAGTACACCTGTGTTACCTCTCTGTTCCCCACATACTTTGTTACTGAAAGGTTTTTTGTTTAAAATGTCTTTTACTACCATTGCCCCTGGAGGAAGAGCAGTGACAAAAGACTGAATAATTCAGCTGCTTGGTCAGATTCCTTTTAGTCAGACCCTTAAGTGGAGATATAAAAAACCCTCACAATTCACACAATGAGAATTATGGGCACCACAGGACATGGGGCACTCCAATTTTAATACATTAAAGGTACGGAGGAACTGTGTGTGTTCAACTACTGGAAACAGTAGTTAAGTGTTTTCCTCTTAGGCCACTGCTACTATTTTACAGTTCCCCCCATTGTATCAAATTTACTTGTGATGCTAATGGTGAAGACTAGTAAATGATGATGTTTCTAGCACCTCTCATATACTTTCTTCAAATGGTTTACTGTAAGTGAAAGCAACTTCTAGAGGCTGAAGTGAGAACCATAAAAGCTTAAGAAAAGGTGGGTCTGTTTTTTGGCTTTGTTTTGTTTTTTTTCAATTGACTTAAACATACATCACCTTTCTTACCTGTAAAACAACACAGCACTGAATAAAGTCATCAAAAGCAACCTGTCCTCTTCCTTGTCTGTCGAATTTCCGAATAAGGATATCATAGAATTGGTCAGACAGTCGGTAACCTTGGAAAAAGAGAAAGGCTTTAGAAAGTTTCAGTTACACAATTAGTGCGTAGCAGGCTTGTCTGACAAAACCAGGAACCTGTAAGGAGCTACAAGAGATACCATTTTTTTCTGACTCTGTTAAATTGAAATGCATACAATAAAACCTGAGCTTAGTAATAGCTGCACACAGAGTCATAGTAAACATAATTACCGGCTGAAGTGACAATTCAGTTTTATAAGCGAAGTCTACCATAACATAGACAGCTGGCTTCGTTTTAATCACAGAATCAACTAGGTTGGAAAAGACATCAAGTCCAACCATGACACCAGGACTGCCAAGTCCACCACTAAACCATGTCACAGGGCCTCATCCACATGGGTTTTGAATGCTCCCAGGGATGCCGATTCCACCGCTTCCCATCACTTCCCCCAGCAGCCTCTTCCAGTGACTGATCACCCTCTCTGTGAGGACATCTTTCCTACTATCCAGTCTAAACTTCCCCTGCCGCAAGCTTGAGGCTGTTACCTCTTGTTCCAAGCAGAAACAAGCTGCACTGTGTACTGAATAAGTTCATTTACCTGAAGTATTTGGCAACACTCTCGGAGCAGCTACAGAGGAGACCGAAACTGGATGTGTCAGTACACGTGTGGAATGTTTTCTGGGTTTATTTTCCATTAAAGGAAACAGCTTAAACCCAGACAGTGCTCGTGGCACAGACATCTTTAAAAGGTACCGTATAGCTAAAAAGATAACTGCGTTTCTCCTGCCTCGTTTGGAGTCACATTTGTCAGAGCAGTACAGCCCTAACAACAAGCAGCTCATTTGATGCCATAACCCAACCGTAAAAACTGTAATTACAAATGGATTACCAAAACCTGTTAGCGCTTGCTTCAGCTCATTTTTGTCAATCATTCCAGAATTGTCTCTGTCATACGTTCGAAAGACATTCTGCCAGTCTGTGATGTACTTCCAGACTCCTGTGAATTCATTGAAGTTCACACCACCTTTGTTTTCTCTGTCGAACATGCCTGAAATAAAAAACACACATAAACCAGTAAGACCTGCTAGTATTTGAAGGCAGCAGCAAGAGCACTGTGTGGAATGTGCTGAAGACAAAGCAAACTGTTAAAATACAAGTGGTATTTTGGGAACTTGTGACAAAAAGAGCAAGTGGTCATCCACTGGAGGAGGAAAAGATCAAGCAAGATAAAAAAGGACCAGGATGAATCACAGAATGTTTTATTTTTCCTGGGGTTTCATTTCCAGTTTGAGAATATTTACAGCTTGATTGATCATCCAGTGACAAAAAGGGCAGGGGGGTCGGTTGTTCTTTTCTAAGGTACATGAACAAGTCCAAGTCAACTGACTGCCAGGAGTGCTGGACAGTCATCTGCGTTTGACTTACTGATACTGTCATCTTTGTATGTAATGACATATATATGATACATGCTTTTGCATGTCACACAGTGGTGGAACTCAGATTGCTGCTGAATAATTACTAAAAAACAAAGCAAAATATTCAGTCCTTGGATTTATGAACTGTATGACAGAAAAGATCTCTTGTGCTTGTATTTTTATCCTACCACCATCATCTCCTACACTACCGGCAATTATTTTAGGAGGCTAAAGAATTCAAACATTGTAAAGCATCTTTTTGGAGCAAAATTTAGGATTAAAGTGTAAAACAGGGGAAACTCCTTACAGAGACAAGCTATATAATATCCTGCTAGAATATTTAACCTGTCAATTTCCCCTATGCATAAATTACATTTATTGTCTATTCAGTTGTACAGTAACATTTTCTCAGGCTACTTCCACAAATGCACATCTGTGGATGCAAAGGGCATGCTGGTATTATTCCAAAGGGAAAATATTTAACTTACTACTGCTGGGCTGTCTGGAGAGAAAAAAAAACACAAACCAGTGCAACAACTGATAGCATTTTCAATGTTCTGAAACATCACAAAGCAGTGTCTTGACTATTTCACATCACACAGCCACACTTACCAAGAATTGACCTGACTGTTGCTGGATTAAATGGAGTCCATGTGCCTGAAACAGAGAAAATCACTTTAGTGCCTCAATACTGAGTAGCACCTAAACAAAAAAATGCACCCAACAAACCAGACAAAAAAAAAAAAAAAATCAGGTAAAATCTTAAAACCCAGTGAATTCAGAGCTAGATGACATGGAGCTAGCATATTATATACATAATATGGCTGCTTTGAAGTAGTTATGTTCTTGACTGTTCAGAGGTGACCAATGCTTTATAGATACTACACAGGAAGCAACATTTTTCAGGCTGCATCAAACCACCGCCCCCAAAAACCTCAAGAACTAAGGATTTTTTTTCATCCCAGGGAGTCAGGAGTTAGTTACTGCATAAAAGGCAAGATCAAAACTGAAGTCCCACCTTTTCTACTGACGGGAGCAGACGAGCTTTCAAATTACAATTCAGAGAAGGTCTCACATCTATTCCTGAGTAAAAACTAATCTGCTTATTCCCTATTTTACAGGTGGATTACCCCAGGACATTAGTTTATGACAGAAGTGAAAAAGTTTCTAACATGGCACAACCACACAGTGCAATCTGGAGTTGAGTTTAGTATAAATCTCACCTCCACTGCTAAATCAAGGAGGTGCTAGTTTAAGTTAGTATTTTTAGACCAAGAAATGTTTCTGCTTGAAAGGGCCTTTGTACGTCTCTGAATATGCAGAGGCTAGTCACTTTGGGATAGTTTTCCCTTGGGGGGGAGCATTAAGCTTTAAATTCAGAGAAATCCTGTGTCTCATCTAGAATTTCACCATCAATTCTCTAGAGCCTGTGAAGGAACCAGGAAGACCAAGGAGCATATATTTAATTAACTGTGTTTGAGTGTGGGGACCACAAAGAAAGCCGAAGACCAGGGGTACTGCAGAGCCATATGCAGCAATACAGTTAGCTGACCACAGCTGCCTAACAGAAAGGCTGTGCTGGCATTAAGCAGGCTGCTTTGCTGCATTGCTTTGCTGCAGTGGTGGTGTAAGTAGTGCTCATGGCAGCGCTAAGTTTTGTCCATAGAAGGGAAATGGTATCCGTGTAAGTATGCAGATACAGCAACAGGGAGAACCCCTATGTTGTAGGCAGGTCATAGAACTATTTGCACATAAACAGAAACATAAGCAGAGAAAGAGTAAAAATGGCTCTGAAAATGCTTAAGCAGTATTTTAGACAGATAACGTCAGTACCTTAAGAGTTGTATGTCTCCTGACAAAACAAAAAATAATGGAATCATTAATAGGGTGCCAGCATTTAACTCTGAACAGAAGAGAGGAAAAAGTGAAAACAGAGCTGGAAAGTTAACCTATTTTGTGTTTCCTTTTTTGAAAGACTCACAGAGTGAAATCAAAGCAATTCCAGTGCTGAAGAACTGTACTGATTCCAGCCTGTTCCAGTAACCAGTGAAATAATGTTCCCTCACCTGACTCTGCTATTAACTTTACATGGCAGTGCAGAAGAAAACAAGGATGCACATGAGTTTATTGTGCAAACAACTATAGAAAGTGATGATCTCCCTCACATGTAAGTATACTGTTACTTGAATAAACTTGACATGTCTAGTGTGAGGCGTCCCTGCCCTTGGCAGGGTGGTTGGAACTAGGTGGTCTTAAGGTCGTTTCCAACCCAAACCATTCTGTGATTCTATGTTGAAAAGCTGAATGTCAAAACCACATTGAACTTCAAATTTTTTAATGATGAGCACTATGCAGACTTTTAAAAATGCTTTAGAAATAAACATGTAACATTCTTTTAGCCCATGTTAGATTGCAGGACATCCACTGGAGGAAATATTTTGAAAAGAATACAGTGAATGGTCAGTAACTTTGGTGTACAAGATGTAGAATCGCTCAGAAGGAAGGAAGCTTACAGTTCTACACATATTTTGTCTAACAGTGAATTCACTTGGTGGGGATTCTTCTTAACTGCAAAGCACTGAAACTGCTAATCTACACTGTAAATAAGGAAAGAAAAGAGTTCAGGTAGTCATCACTGCCTTACATTCAATCAGGTGAAGTTTAAACTGGTAGGTAAAGCCAGGTTCCCACAGGTATGAACAGCACTGTGATCTTAAATGAAAACAGTGACTTCATCAGTTTAATTTAGCTTTTCGCTGGAGTTTTTACTCAAAACAGCATTTTAGTTATGGATCAGTCTGGCAGCTATAATATATTGCTTTTCATTTATCAGATGACTTATTACACAAATATTATAGTACAAGACCACCATTTTACTAAATAGAGCCATCCAGATTTATTTCTGGTCAGGTGGTTACTGACAAAAAAGGAGCCTTTCAGCCTGTGTGCGCTGCAGCTCACAGCATCAGCTTAAACCCTTCTCAGTCACAAAGCACAGGAAGGCTGTGAAGGAATTAAACCTTGGGAGAAGGGAACTTCATACAGACTTAAAGGTGTACAAACAGCTTCAGTTTGCACTTTTTTTTAGGTTTCTAAGTGGAAAAAACCCAACCCACAAAGTACAACCCAACCCACCCTAAGTCACCAGAGGAAAGTCAAAATAGGCTACTGGAAATTCTTTCCGCTTTTTATTTTGCTTCCACGCGTTATTTAACCAAACCCTTGTTACCCTTTAAGGGAACTGACACAGTACTGGTAAGTTTTAATACAAGATCTAGAGTGAATCTTTCTGCTTTGTTGGGAAAAAAATCCAAACATGCTTCATTTGAGGGGAAAAAAAAAAAAGTAATAAAAGTTACCATCTCCAATTCCTGCACTGTACTGTTTGTAAAGATTTTATGTGCAGTGAAAAGGCTGGTTGTAAACAGCTGATCTTTGTCCAGGTTAAACACTGATCCTCGTTCAAAAAACAAAGGTTCAGTAGTGATGAGTGAGGAATCTATAAATGACCATTTATGTTTTCTAGGAAGCAGCGCTGGAAAAAAAGAGGTGTGCATGCCTTCATTCCTCAGCACATAAATCAGTAATGTTTACAGTAAGTACTCAGTTTATAATGTAATTGTACTAACATGCACCAAACCCAGAAAACTTCCCTTGAAATAAAAACAAAAACCAAAACAGGAACAACAAGAAAAAATCCAGTAAGATAAGATCACGAGGACTGTCCATTTTTTAACTCCCCTTCAACCTTTTGCTGTAGGTTAAATAGTTAAATATTATGATATTCATACTAGTTCAATAGTATAGTAATGATATTAAATAAAGTTAGATAGTATTAATAAGCAATGAGAACACCCCCCATCTCCCCCAGTCAAATAAATATGGCATAAAGTAAACAGACTCACTTGAAAATTAACATTAAGTTTACAATGAACTACCTCACTGCTCGCCTGCAGACTCACCGTTAGATAATGCCTGCTGGAGTTCATTGTCAGATATTATTCCACTCCTGTCTTTATCAACTCTGGGGGAAAAAAAATGTATTGGTAAGCTTTAAATGGCTGAAATGAACAGAAGACTTCAACATTCTGGTTCTTACTCACCAGATAAATTAATCTTTTCCTGAAAAGTCACTAATGGCATTGTACTTGGTAAACCATTCACTGTAATTGCAAGCTAAAAGCTTCATTCAGACTGATGAGACATTCTGAAGTGTGCTAAGTAAGTATATTTATTTATTTTAAAGAGAACTGCAGAGCACATAACACTGGGTAAATCCACATAATGCCTGGCTCCCAGATTGGAGGCCCAGGTTTGGGACCCAGTTTCTCTCAGTAAGATGTTGGCAATGGAGAGAAAGCCACTAATGTAACTAGTGCAAAGTACTTAAAGAATCAATTGCAGAGCCTCAAAGCATTTCAGTGGGATTCAAAAAGTGAAAAAACACAGGTCCCATTCAGCTACCACAGTCTATTGTCTTAGAAAAGAGAGTTCTAATCTAAAACTCATAAACCTAGTGATTTCTGCCCAAATAAAACAGGATCATGCCTTCTTTAGAAGAATATCTGAAAGCGGTGGGGACTTCCCCCCATTTTATACACGGACCATCCTCTTGATACTGACAGTTTTAACTTCCCCTCAGTTACCACCGTTCCAAAGCAGAGTCCTGCTCAGCTGATCCCTCTGCTGAAGCTGTTTTTCACTTTAGTCCTTGTTGTCCTTCTTTAAACCCTTTCAGTTCACTCTGTGAGATTCCTTCCTCATCTCAAAATGGCATACAACATTCGAATTGCAAGCAGAAGTTGCATAAATGGTAACACAAAAAGATATTCCCCTTTTTTATTCTCTCTTTTCTAGATATTCCAAACATTTTTCTACCTTTTGAGCTGCTACTAAGTGCTAAACTGGTATTTTCATAAATAAGTGGGTCTATGACCCACTTATCTTGCCCCTGAGGCATAAAGCACACTGATTTTATATGCAAAATGATGCAAAGTTAAAGTGGCTCTTCCCTGTGGACGTCAGGTGTATTCTCTGGGTTTTAACTGGCCACTGTACAGTGATCGTGATCTGGCTGTGACAGGGTGGTGCGATCCACTCATACACAGGACTGTAAGGTCAAGTTGTTCAGGACTGTTAACTTGAAGCCTTCACAGCCCTCACTTACTGCAGGAATCAGTCAGTACGAATGATTCAGCTGAAGCAAACTTCGTCTGGCCATTCACCCTCTTTTCCTCCAGTTGCTCCTGAACATACTGAATAAAGATCCCAAAATGGCTCCGTCCATCAGTGTGGCAGATGCCCACACATGCTTTTCAGCTAGTCATTTATCCATGCTAGAACCCACCCTTTCATTCCACATATACTGGATTTCTTTAAAGGCCTTTGATACTTCCATATGTTGAGAGTCTCTAGGAAATTATTGTATGAACTATACCAGTTCTAGACATCACATCCATACTCAGTCCTTACCAAATGCAGTACAGGACTTGGACAGCAATCTGCCAGAAAGGAATGCTTTCAACAAAAGCCATGCAACATTCCTGACTACCTACATTATGTTTAATGGTTTCTGCTGGTTTGCCTGGTGCAGAAGTCAGACTGTGGAGGTTTCTTTCTGGATCTTAGAAATAGCACCATGCATGCTTCCTCCAAGTTCCCAGATGAAGTGGTTTTAGGGAAGGCTGGGTAGGTAAGCCGCCACATTCCTGAGTCATTCCTGAGTAACTAAGCAAATACTAGCCCGTTTTAGCAGCAACATATTACTGTTTGTCTACTCCTTAACCTCTTCTTGCTGTCACTTGAGTCAAGATACATCCTCTGACACAGCTCCCATGAAAATGGATGCAACATAGGAACCTGCCCCATCTCCTTACGTGATGCAATTGTGAAGAACTTCTTTACTGCCACAGTCTTGGCAGTGTATTTCTTACCACAGGCCTGCTAACCCCCCTGCAGGTTCCTACTCCACATGTATTCCAGGGAATATCTGCTAGTAGCTTTGCAGTTTTCCATTAAGCATTTATCATCAGATTCCTTTTCACAAGCCTTCCCGTGCTGCTGCATGGATCCTTCAGGCTTTATAACCCTTTCCGGGTTCTCAGGTCAAAAATCACTTCAGCGATTTCAAGGTTACACCCTCTCACTTCCAGTAATCCCCCTTCCCTTGCCCTAAAATACAGCCATACTTACTCCTCCTCAAGCCCTTCTTAACGCACCCCAAAGCAGGGATACAACCGTGACGCTTACCCGCCCCGCAAGGCCCCCAGGCGGCCAAACCCCGCCGTGGATGCCCAGGGCCGGTGGCAGCCTTCCCGTACCAGCTCGCCGTTTCCGGACACCTCCCAACGCCCCGTCCCACCTCAGGCAGCGGCGGCCCCGGGAAGGCCCGGCTCGCCCTGTAGCGGCCCGGGAATGAGGAGGGTGGCGGCGGCCGCCTCAGCGCAGCGGGAAAGGGGTGCCAGGGCCCGGCCCCCCAAGGAACCCCCCTCAGTCCCCTCCCCGCAGCCGTCAGGACGGTCCCCCCCGCGGTCTCAGCGACCTCACCTCTGGAAGACGTTCCACAGGAAGGAGGGGTCGGGCAGCGCGGCGCCGCCGCTGGGTCTGTGGTGATAGCCCGCCGCCATGGCCGCGCCGCCGCCACCGGGCAGCTCCCGCCTCGGCCCCTCCCCGCGCTTCCGGCATGGGCCGCGTGACGCGGCGCCGCCGCTGACGTCATGAGCCGGGAGGGCGCAGGGGCCCCGCCCCGGGGAATCCCGAGAGGAGCCGTTGCCACGGCGACCCGGGGCGTCAGCGGCGGTGCCGGCCCCGGTGCTGGATATCCCTGTTTCCCGCTGGGAATGAGCCTCCAGGCAGAGGCGGGAAGCGGCTGCAGGCTTGGGCACAGGGACCCGCGCCCGCACGTTAATGGCTCTGCCGCTGTGAAGGGATCTGCGAGGCGCAGAGCCGTCCCTAGGCACGCTCAGGGAGAGGGGAAGTAGTGCAAGTCTGACACCCAAGAGATAAGATACAGGGTTACTGCTGGAGAAACAAAGCCCCATGAACTGATTCCCTCAGACAAACTGAAGATGAAAATGCACATAAAAATCTCAGGTACAGGACTGGAAAGTACAAGCCAGATTAGTTACTGTCACCTCCACCATTGCTGAGGGCTGAACACAACCCTCAAAACAGCAGCCTCATTCCTCTCCACCCACCTGCAATTTCTAGGAACAGGGCAAGGTCCCACAGGACATGGAGTATCTCCAGGCCTACTAAAACTCTTAGGTGGATATCCTGAACCATCCTCAGCCTTTGGGATGCACTACCCTGTCTGTGAAAAAAACTTAGGGTTTTTTGTTTTGCCCTTCATCCAAACTGCTGACCTTACATGTGAGGACATAGGGAGAAGGCCTGAACAGCACAAGGTCTGGGTGTTCACAGCCCAAACAAGTTACATATACAAACTCCACAACATTAACTGCTAATTAATACAGGCTTCTGTGCTTAGCTCTGGCCCCTCTGTTCAGGTATAACTCTGCTCTCTGCCTTCCATCAAGTCACTTTAAATCTACAATTTTCTAGTAGTATTTTATAATCAGAACAGATAACACTGAAAAGAGCTTTAAGCATTGATCTGAAAATACTGTGAAAATAAAACACATTATCTTGTGCTTTCAGAAAACTGCTAAATCCAACGTTTATTCACACTTCAAACAAAACAAGACTTAAACCTACTGTAAATCTATAAGGATGTGAATACAACATAGCTGAAGGTAGCAGTGGTTTAGCATTTTATTGAACTGGTGGTGCTTTATGTTTTAGTGAATCAATGAAAAAAAATTGTACCTCGTGTGTTTACTTATTTATTCACTCTATAATCAAATTGCACAACAGCAATTTCATTCAGTCCCCTTAGTCAGGAAACCGGATTTCATAATTAAGGTTCTGCAATAAACTATTTTACACCAAAGTAAGTACATATACAATGTATAATGTGAAAGTGGACTGAGGATATTAATACACGCTCAGCTCAATGCAGTGCCATATAAAGATAGTTTTAAAGGAGTCTGCTTAGGTACTGTAGGAGATGTATTTTAGCATATCCAACACTAATGCGCTGTTGTTTTTGTACAAACATCCTTATATGGCATTGCAGGACACGGTGCAAACATATTCCACAAGAAAAACATTGGCTGACAGCAAAAATAGGTCAGTGGCTGCAATAAATAGGTCACTGAAAAGACCTCCTCCATTAGAAGCTTCATTCTTCAAACATGACCTTTACATCCATCTTATTTCCCACATCCAAGTCTTTAGAAAAAAACATGCTTAGCAAGTATCAGTGTATACTGAACTTTACTCAAAATAGCATTGCCAAATTTGCCCTCAAATATTTCAAACCTGTTGATCCCAGACGAGTAATGACACACAAACACCAAATTGTCAGTTACTTAAGAAGTTTTGGCACAGTCAGAGTAGGAACCGTAATTTCTTTAAAGATTGGCACATAGTTTGGATTCGGTTGGCTCGGACCTTGATCCAAAGTCTCAATGATAGTCTGCTTCATATCTCTGCTGGCATCACCTCTCACTGTCAGCAAAGCTGCAATATGGTCATCCCTGACAAAGGAAAATGGTAAAACTGGCATTAGCGGGAAACTTCACACAAGGAACATCTTTGTCAGAAGTATCACTTAGTTGGCAATCTTGTCTTTCTGTTTCAGCATGTACTTCAATTCTTCAACAGACCTCCAGTCACTCAGAACTTATTTCTCCAGCTGAACATAAAAGCACTGTTTTGGCCTCTCTTAGGACTCCAAAACATGTTTTATCCTTCCAAAACTCAAAAGTGGAAATATTTTTGTTATTCCCTTGCTGTACCACTGAGTAATTACATATATGTACCTTCCAGCCCAGCTCACCTACACTTCATAATAACATCATTTTTCATAAGAAAGTGGTTACGTTATAAAACATGAAAAAAAATACAAACACATTGTCTCACCCAAACCTACAAAAAACTATGATGCAGAAACTACTGTCTTTTAACTTTGAAGACAAAGAAAATTACCTGATATCTGGGTATTTACTGACTAAAGTTGAAACTTCCAAATAGAGCAATGAAGGATCAGTTAGCTTGATAACCTCTGCAATGGCTTCAATGATGTCACAGAGTCCTTCAGTGTCCTCTCCAGAGCCCTGCAAGAGGAAAAGTAAAAAAAAAACAAAACTAATTCCCAAACCAAAATTCCTCATATCTATGGAACAAGACAATCTCTATGGTCCCTTCAACCCTAACCCTTCTAGGACTCTATAAACAATCCTTTATAATCAGTATTTTGCCCAGCAATGCTCTTGAATTCCCCAAAGAGCTGAATTTTCAGACATTAAGAAAACTAAGTAATTTTTGAATTGTCACTGTAAGTCACTTCCCTCTTTCCCTGTCCTTCTTCAGCCAGAGACCTACCCTCGGAGTATCAGTAAAGAAAGTCATGTCTTACAAACAATACGGTGTATTTATCCACACAGTGACGCATTCTAGTCTTGAGCTTCTGTTAATAGGCCAGCAAAAACTTTAGGGACAACTGATGTGAAAGCCAGATCTTTTCGGAAACGTTACGTAAAAACTGGCCCTGCATCTGCTTCCTTCTAGTCATCTGGGCACCAAGGCAGCTTTCAACAACTTATCAACTGAACTGTAACATTGATTTAATCTCTGAACTCTTTAATCTCTTCATTCCAGGTCACCTGGTCCTACCAATGTGCAGGTATTGCTCAATGCATTTATCCCATAATCTCTTCTATCAATGCCTCAATCTGAAACAGGTTTTACACAGAATCCCACATAATGAAGGACTCTGATGCAGGAGTTGCCCTAGCATCTTCCACAGTGAGTAGAGATGAACGCTGCCTTTCCCAGTTTTCCAGGCTTTATCTTTTTCTGCATTCTTTTTGCATTTTGTCATACGTTGTCCCTAGGAGCTTTCTGGCAGAGTCTTGCTCCTTACACAGTTAAACAAACATTCAGTATTCATTTTAGGCTATCTGGTACATTGTTTCTGCCTGCCTTTTCTATTTCTATTGCACCTTAAATGTCTTGTTGATTGTAAGTAAATAGACTGTATACTACTTAGGTAATAAGTAACCACATCTCTTCAATGCAGTATTGCTCTTTCTTCCAGCCAGGAAAAATAAAGTCTTATTTGTTTGAATTTTATTTATTTAATTTACTTTCTTTTATTTCATCTTATTTATTTTATTTTAATTATTTTATTAACAAACGACTGCTTTTTTCTTTCACTGACTACTATGAATTCAAGGCACCCATCCCTGTGGGGCCATTCAAATATTCTACTGCAGAGAGCTTTACAAGCACAAAGTAGTAGAAACTGGTGCTCAGGAGCTATAGCAACAAGCCTGAATGCATTCAGAAACACTGTGCCCTCAGCTGGCAGCCTGGATATTTACAAGTTCCTCAATGTTTTAGAGAGATGGGGATCTAACCCCAGCCATTCTCCCCAAGCAATAAACGTGTGTGGTTCATTCTAAATCACGACGTTAACAGCATTATCCAAAGAAAATACTTACAGCTGCAAGCTTCTTAAACAGAAATCGGAACTGTTCTGCTTCTTTGCTCATTCTTTCTGCACCCTCTTTTCTCTCTTCTGCATTCTTAAAAGATATACGTTTTAACATGATTGCTCTGATGTATTCTACAACCACTCTCCGATGGGCCTCGATAGTCATTGTCTGAAAGAAAAAAGAAAGGTGGTAGATTATGCCACTGACACCTGCAAATGTCACCATTACTTTTAGGTTTTGAGCAATTATCAGGCTTTGAAATGTGTATTTGCACTTCATCACCAGGACACAGCTTTTGCTAATACTATATATTTTGAGTGGCTCTAGGTTTTCACAATGCTAAAAGAAATGACAATCTGTCCTTCCCTAATGAGGAGGATGTGCCAATCCTCCTGATAAAAAAAAAAAAAGAAGCAGCAAAACCAAGATATCTCTAATGAGGTCTGCTTTATTTTTGAGAGCACTTCTATCTAGAAGATCAAACATGAAACAATTTGGATATCTTTAGAAGAGACCTGTGCCTGGCCTTGCAGACTTGCTCTATCTCTGGTCAAGGAATGACCAGCCACCAGAGGGCCTTCTGCTGGAGAACTCCAGCATTTTGCATAAAGCACTGCAAATCTTGCCGACATTATCTTGGTCAAGTCTGGTAAGAAGCCTCAAGAGTCAGCAGCAATCGCTTCCTCAGATATTCCTGGACTGATCTGCTGTACTGCACTTGTCTTTTCATAAATAGCTCCTGGTGATTAAGTGAATCATCTGGCAGTGGTGCAAGAGTAATGCTGAGGTTTGGTAATAAAGAACAAAAAACCCACAAAACCTTTGCATTTTTTCAACTGTAATGTAAGTAAGAGTCCTTAAATCCCACAAGTCCTCAGGTATTTTCTTCCCCTAACTAAGGTGGCAAAGTTACTTACAATTAAGAAAAAGACTGTGGAATAAGTAGTTACAAACTTTTAACCATATTTTATCAGCATAGATCAAGCTTTGGTTTCAATCAACATGTTCCTCAGTCAAAATTCTGGAGAGAGGTTTCAGGAAAGAGAGAAAATAAAGAGGGAAAACAACAGATTAGAAAGTACTGGAAGTCACAGCTCTCATCTAGGACATGAAAAACGTGATTGCAAGTCCTGCTCTCAAGACTGTGAACAAA